CTCCCAAGTAGCTGGACTGCAGGCGCCCACCACAACACCCAGCTATTTTTTGTTGTAGTTGTCACGGGTGTTTGGCAGGCCCAGGCTGGATTGGAACCTGCCAGCTCCAGTGTATGTGGCTGGTGCCCTAGCTGCTGACCCACAGGCGCCAAGCCAGCCAGGTTGATTTTTTAAATTTTGTAGAGATGGGGTCTCACTATTGCCCAAGCTGGTATCAAGTCATCCTCCTATCTCAACCTTTGTGCTGGTATTACAGACACGAACCACTATACCTGGCCACTAAATGTGTTTGAGTCTCACTTTATAGTGACTGTCACATTTCTTCTTTTTTGAGTCAGAGTCTTCACTTTGTTACCCTTGGTAGAGTGCCATGTTGTCATAGCTCACAGCAACCTCAAACTCTTGGGCTCAAGCAATTCTCTTACCTCAGCCTCCCACGTAGCTACAGGCTAAAGGCGTCTGCCACAACACTCAGCTATTTTTAGAGACGAGGTCTCGCTATAGCTCAGGCTGGTCTTGAAACTGAGTTCAAGCAATCCACCTGCCTTGGCCTTACAGAGTCCTAAGATTACAAACATGAGCTACCACACCCAGCCCACATTTCTTGTTTTTATTCTTTGAGTCTGGATACCCAATATCCAGTTATGCCTGCAGGCCTCTTTATCATGCTAGAACACAGGAGCTAGAACCTAGGCAATCCAGGTGTCCCCAGGTGGAGGGTGGGGCTGGGTAGGTACTCACAGGAGGCCTCATTGTAGTAGACACTTATCCTCTCCAGCTGCAGGTCTGAGTCCCCCACATAGTTGCCACTGGGGTCTATTCCATGTTCATCACTGATGACTTCCCAGAACTGCAGAGAGGGAGAGGAGGGGTCAGTGGGGGCCAGATCCTTTCCCTCTTGAACCCTTATAGCCCTAGGTATAAAATTGTGGCTTCATCCCCTGGGCCTCCATTAGCCCTGGTGATAGGCTTGAGAAAAGATGACATACTTCAGAAAGTTGTCACAGTAACTATGCACATCCTCTGTCTGCTATCCAGAGCCCCAGCTGGTTCAGGACTTGTTGACAGACCTCCACTTCTAGACTCAGCTGTGTACTTGCTGGCAAGGAGCAGCCAGGTGACTGCTCCGTGAAGGGGACTTGGTAACAAATAGCTCAAAGGGTATTTTTTGTTTGTTTGTTTTTTTGAGACAGAGTCTCAAGCTCTTGCCCTGGGTAGAGTGCTGTAGCCTTATAGCTCACAGCAACCTCAAACTCTTGGCCTCAAGCAATCCTATTGCCTCAGATTTTTTTCTATTTTTAGTAGAAATGGGAGTCTCACTCTTGCTCAGGCTGGTCTCGAATTTGTGAGCTCAAGCTATCCACCTGCCTCAGCCTCTCAGAGTGCTAGAATTACAGGCATGCGCCACCCCGCCTGGCCTCAAGGGGTAGATTTTTTTTTTTTTTTTGAGACAGAATCTCAAGCTGTTGTTCTGGGTAGAGTGTGGTAGCATCACAGCTCACGGCAACCTCAAACTCTTGGG